ATGAGAGAGATGTGTGTGTGTGTGGTGTGTGTTTGTGTGTGTGTGTGTGTGAAAGATAAAAATCACTTTTTTCTTCTTGTCTACAATCCATTGAACAGCAGGACTCGTCAGGGGTGACAAAATATGGATGAAAGGAGTTTGTGACTTGGAACAGAACAGAAGCAGGCCACCAGGCCAGCTGGGAATTGAACCCGTGACCCAGTGGGTGTACAGCACAAAGTCGGCCTCTGTGAACTCACGCCCTTACAAAAGCATTCATACTAGAAACTGTGACCTGTTAAATGATGGAAAAATGCCTACAGGCCCCAAAGACTTAATGGGATTGTGGTAGCAGACTGTAATTACAAGTGTGTGTGTGTAGGGTGTGTGTGTGTGTGTGTGTGTGTGTGTGTGTGTGTGTGCTGTGTGTGTGTGTGTGTGTGTGTGTGTGTGTGTGTGTGTGTGTGTGTTTGTGTGTGTGTGTGTCTGTGTAAAAGTGTAATTATGAAGTCTCGCACACACACACACACACACACACACACACACACACCCTGACACACACACACTTGTAATTACAGTCTGCTACCACAATCCCATTAAGTCTTTGGGGCCTGTAGGCATTTTTCCATCATTTAACAGGTCACAGTTTCTAGTATGAATGCTTTTGTAAGGGCGTGAGTTCACAGAGGCCGACTTTGTGCTGTACACCCACTGGGTCACGGGTTCAATTCCCAGCTGGCCTGGTGGCCTGCTTCTGTTCTGTTCCAAGTCACAAACTCCTTTCATCCATATTTTGTCACCCCTGACGAGTCCTGCTGTTCAATGGATTGTAGACAGGAAGAAAAAAGTGATTTTTATCTTTCACACACACACACACACACACACACACACACACACACACACACACACACACACACACACACCTAAAACAAGGCAAACATCTATAAATGCGTAGCCAAGCAAGTAATTGCAAGGCCTTTGGCTCTGTTGAACAAGGCTCACCGCTCTGTGTAATAAACACGCTATGATGTTTTCAGCATTAATGTAACATAATAGAAAGAGTGTTAAGGAAAAAGAGGCTTATTTGCTCCTGTAATGAAACAACAGCATGGATTATCTTCCTTGAATTTACAGCCGTTTATCATCAGCGAGAGACGAGATAGAGACATCGGAGAAAAAGACAGAAACGAAGGGAGAAAAGGAAATGAGAGAGCAGAACCCCAGCTGTTCTGTCCTGCTGGGAGACCAGCGGAGATGGCTGTTGGCGAGAGAGACTGTCAGATAGACAGAGATATAAAGCCTTGATGTCAAAGACAAAAAGGGTCCTTCTAGCTTGCATTCAGTTTCCTTTTATCTGAACTTGTGTGTTTTCAGAGGAAGTGTGGGGAGTGCAAGAGCTCAGAGGGCACCGTGTGAGAGCAGAGACACATTACATGCATGTGGGGGGACAGTGGTGTCTGCACGCAGTGTGTTAGCGCATGCCGTGTGTGTGTTTGTGCATCGGGGGGTTACGATGTGTTTTTCTTCGTGCTGCATGTGTGTGTGTGGTTGAGTCGAGAGGACGTGAGAAGAGGATGCTCTCCCACATACTTACGCCCGTGATTTATTGCACACTGCATGCCCTCAGAGTGTGTGTGAGTGTGTGAGTGAACCTTTGCACCCCTTCCCTCCTCGGTGAACAGTCACTTTATTAATTTTGTGGCTTTATGTAATCACGTAGAGGAGAAACATTAATCTGCTGCCTTTTCACCTCACATTAAGTTTCATTAAATGTTGTCTTGAATCACAGCTGTGGACAGAGGCGTAAACTTAACTACAAAGCAAAAGATGATTGTTTTTCATCGTCCCACGGTTTAAAGAAACTAGATGGTTGTATCATATGTGTCATCTTTCTACCACTTACAGTCAGGGGAAAAGAAAGTGCTCACACTTTCACTTGTAAGAGTTTACATATCAGGACACAAATGATCACGTGGTCCTCAGCAGGTCAAGTGCATACAGCATCGGATTTATATCAACAATATTAGATTGTGTCATTATTTATTTAACAGAAATTAACCAAAGAAGAGAAAAAAACTCAACTCAAATATCTGTGAGCTGATAAAAGGACAATAATTTCAGTTTATTTGGCCAATGTGTAAAATTAAATTAACAGTTTAAAACATTTGAAGGTTAATCCTGCTGTACAGAATAGCTGGGATTTATTATGTGTATGCAGTACTGTGCACGAATACTGAGCCGCCCTCATTTTCTGTATATTTTGCAAACATACATGGAAATACAGCAACAACTGAGTTTGTGCAATTCTAAATAGTCTTCAGGAGTCGTTCTCCAGGCTTCTCGGAGGTCATTCAGAGCTCTTCTTTGCTTGTTTCTGCCTTTTGTACCTTTCTCTGATTCAACACTGCTTCAATCATGTTGATGTCCGAGCTCTGCAGAGACCAGTCCATGACTGATCATGTTCCACTGTGTTTGTTTTCACAGCACTGCCACAGTGTTGGGATCATTGTTGCGCTAAAAAAGGAAGCTGTTGGCATTCAGACACTCTTTACATGGTTTTGCATGTTGGATCAAAATCAGTTTTATCAAGGTCTCCAACACCGGTGGCTAAAATGCAGCAGCAAATCACAAAAGAGCCTCCACCGCGCTCGAGAGATGGCTCTCGTAGCGTGCCGAAAGATACAAAATAAAACTAGTTCTTTGCTACATTGCCTCTTCTTGTTCATTCCCTGAAATAGACGACTTTTTCATGTGTCAATGATTCATAGGTCAGGATTAAGCGGCTTAAAAAACAAGCAAAAAAGCATTTCTCTGAAATTGGATCAGGCAAAAGGACGAGACTGAAAATGAGTGAAAAGCAGCCAATGTCCTTCAGGAAGAACTTTGGCTCAAGAGCATTTAAAAAAAAGACAAAGTCTGGCTCATTGGAAGGAAATAAAAGAGAGATGACTTTTGCACATCGCTGTATGCAGCTCATAGAAGTGTGACTCAGCAATATCGGGCTGTCTCCCATTATCCTTACTGAGCTCCAGTTCTGCAGACGGACTCCAAACGTCGCACTTCTAAATGTTCCTTTCTGTCTGCAGGTTTTCCATGCCAACGCTGACGCCACGGAGGTGGTCCTCAATCGAATCCCACAGCCGGTCCTGGCCCGCTTCGTGCGGATTAAACCTCAGACGTGGAAGAACGGCATTGCGCTGCGGTTCGAGCTATACGGCTGTCAGATCACGGGTAAGACAGATGGTGCTTTTTTTTTCCTGCGGTGTTTCTCAGACTTTCTCGGGACAGGGGTCAACCTCCTCCTGGGATTCCAGCGAAAACACAGAAGTCAGTTTGTCAAGTGCAGGAATATGTGGAAGGTTTTTCTTTATTTGTATAATCTAATAATAAACAGGTTTGTAATTTGTCCATCCATTAACTCCTATTCATAATTCTGTTCATGCCGCCTTCTTGTCTTTTTCTCCTTTTCACATGTGTGCAACACACCCACCCTCGTGTGCACTCTTGCCCTTTCATATACATACACTCCCACTTGCGCACACACACACACACACACACACACACACACACACACACACACACACACACACACACACACACACACACACACACACACTCAGTCCTAATAGAATAATACTAGAGTGTGATGTGTGGGTGATAACATCAGAGAGTAACAGGCTCTCAGCTTTCATCTGCAGCCCTGGCAAACAAACACGATTTCAACCAGCATAATCAGCTCAATACTATAAATAGATAAAACTTAATTAGACTGTCTGTGTTTGTGTGTGCGTCTGTGCGTATATGGTAAAAGAGTTTCAATCCATTTGAGCATATCTGTGTGCATGTGTGTCCCGCTCCACTGTATCATTATTAGGTTAGGGCCTCTCTCTGCTGCCATCGTAGCGGCCATTGAGAGGGACAGATATGCTCTTATCCAGGAGGGCTATTTCAGCACCCACACAAATCACAATCACACCGAAACAATATGATACTGAGTGTGTGTGTGTGATAGATAGACAGGGATGTGGAATATATCAGGTATCTTGCCTGTGTTTTTATTTTTTTACTCTATTTTAACACCTGAAATTGCATTATATATCACTCTGCCTTTTTCACTGCTTTCAGGAGTGAGAGCATATATAACCCCCGTTTTTTGGGGCATCGCCCTGCCTTTTGCTCATCCCTGCCACCTTGCGATTCCTGTCATCCATCATGAGAAAAACATTGAGTTTATATGCAAAGTCTTGACACTTTCAAGGCTGGTTTTTGTAACGAGGGATGTCAGAGTTTGATATTTCCGAGGCTCGTGGCAAGAAGCAGAAACTGTTCTGCTGCAGTTTCAGGGAAAATGTCCATAACCTGCTGAAAAAGCCCAAACATACCTGCTAATGGCCATGCAGTATCTTTTCTGAGCACACAGACATGCAGGCAAACACACAGTCAAACACACTGCCAGGGGGAATGTGATAATGCCCTACACAAGCCTATAAAGGCAGACATAAAGCAGTCAGTCACTGACATGTCATTAACTTAAATCACACTTTTATGTCTTCTGCTCTACTTTTTCCTCCGTCTCTCTCTCGTCAGTATGTTTTTCTTCCTCTGTCCTTCTTTTACCTTTGCTGACAGCCACCATTCCTTCTTCCAGCATCCCTTCTTTAAATCTTCCCGTCCCTGCTCTTCCTCCCTCCATCGCTTCTCCCTTAATCTCATTTTATTTTAGCACCGCAGCACTTATCAATCATTTATTTTTAGCACCTTTTACTATTTTTCCCAGCAGGGCTTGTGTAGCGTGTGTATTTGTAGAAACTACACACGTGTGCGTCCAGCTGTGCGTATGCATCAGCTAAGTAGCGCCTCGGCGCCGTACTTGTGAGACCCCGTTATCAGAAACGGCACAGTGGGAGTTTGTGTTCACCTGTGTGTGGGCGAAACATCAGAGCATACGTGAGAGGAAGTGGGCTTCTGAGAGACCTTTACTGTCCGACTGCTGTGTGCATGTGCGTGCATCTCTCTGTGTGCGTGCATTTGAGAGCTGAAACTATTTCTGCTGTGCTATCTGTAGAGGTGATATGCTGCACTCCTACGTTAAAGGAGCTGCTAAAATACACCGATGCAGGAAATAAGAAACACAAAATAAATGACACGGGAACAGCGTTTCCTTCTAGCTAATCGGTTTTCATGTCTGCTGTAGAGCTCGAAGGAGCCATCCAGCCTGGCTGGAGCTGTTGTTGTTTATTGTTGATTCATTATTTACCATTCTGAGGCACAAACGTCACGGCATTAAACATTCATCTCCGTGAAGACCTGAAGAATGTCACCATCAATCAGCGTCAACCTTCACTGTCAGCTGGCTCTCTCTCTTTCCCACTTGCATCTCCCTCGCTCCCTCTTTCTCACCCTTTCCTATTCACTTGCTGCCTTTTCAGTCCATCTCCCTGTTTGACCTTTTGTCTATCTCTTTATCGTCCCTTTGTCCTCTAACTCCTCCTCCTCACCTTTGTCTTCCTCTCCTCCATCGCTCTTGTCTTCGTCCCAGATCAGAACTGGTCACTTTGGTTTTTTTGGTTCCTTTTGTGTTTCGTCATTATTCATGGCAGTACCATATTTTGATGCTTGTCGGACTAAAAACCATTTGTCAGTGTAATAAACAGTATCCCTTTGATCTCCAACATCATTTAGTGCTTCCATTTGAGAGTTCTCTGGCTCAATTCCCCATGAAGAATCCCCCTTTTGGTAGGCAGGTTAAAATTATGCATCAACTTTGCAGCAGCAGGAAGGCAAAATAATGAAATGGGCTGATGGAAAGCAGCTCAAAGGCACCGCGCCGCGTAACACACAAGTTGTTGTTTGTGTCACAAACACAACATTTTGCTCCCAGATTAGATCAAAAGGTGGCGCAGAATTATCCCAGACCTGAAAGCGACGTTCATTTAAGAAGGATTGTTAAAAGACAGATGCTTTGGTGTAGCAGGAGCCTGCAGACGGAGAACAGTTTGGACAGTCCAGCATCGTTTGAAGAATCATGAAAATATCAGATTATGGCCCATTATGTCCAAATTACTTACCAGATACAGTCCTGTGCAAATGTGTCTTTGTATTTTCTGTCTTTGTTACTTTGTTACTAGCAGCATGTCCCAAAATTCAACTAAAGAAATGTCTTTAGTTGGCTCAATAAAAAATAACAAAGTTTGACAGACATGAAATTGGATTTTTGCACCAACAAGGTGATTCCCAAAGTGCGATTAGCTGGAAACTTGGCATATCTCAGCCTGGTGTGCAGTGTGTCCTTAAAAATTTAAGAAAACTGGACCAAAGTGGAGGACCGAAGAAGAAGTGGTGTGTCCTGGACTGACTGTGGCTACAGGTCTGATGGAGCGATGAATGCAAATTGGACAGTTCAAGTCGTTGTCAGCATGTACGCAGGAGGTCAGGAGAGCGGTCCAACAGTGAGTGCCAGTGCAGTGAAGGCATATCCTAGCTGAAAAAACACACAGTGGAGCTTCAGTCATGGATGGGTCTCCCCAGGACTCGGACCTCAGCATTACTGAAGCAGTGTAGGATCAGCCAAACACAACCAAAGGCAGAAACATCCAAGAAGAGCTTTAAATGTCCTTCAGGAAGCCTGGAGAACCTTTCCTGAAGATCCTCAGGGAAATTAGAAGAAAGCCTTTTTAACGAGGAAGGTGGTCGACATGTGCTGCACCTTTATCCCCAACAATACTGCTCCAGATGGCTCAGTAACCCGAGCTCTGGAGGGCCTGAAAATTTGTCTAAAACGATGCATGAGCACTCAGGTATCGGAAACCCAGTGGAGTCCTGGGTGGCATCCGTGTTTGGACGGGTGGATTCAATCTACCTGAGGAACTTCGATGGGCCGAGGAGTGATACAACACGAGGTGTGGTGTCCTTTTGGAATGTCAAAAGAGGGAATGTGGAGATACAGAAATTCTTTTATTGCTGCCATATAACCTGCATCATTATAATTGTATTAATAACATTCTTTACAGCATTATTCCATTTAATAATATTTCTTACAGATACTGCATTACAGTTGTTTATTGAAGATGTCCATTTGAGGATCCTTCCATTATGTTAACTTTTATTACAAGTACGGTTAGAAGTATTTTACACACATTGCATATCTGTGCCTATTTTGAGTTGATGTTCGGTTCATTAACGGTCTTAAGCTTCACTGCCGTGACTGTCCAGGTGATCCATGCTGAGGGAAACTAGAACATAGAAGGATAACTGCATGCTTACAGTACATATAATACATATAATCTAGGAATAGGCCTGAGCAGAGGCCCAAATGTTTCCAGCTTCTTGTTGCAAACCTGTTGCATTTTATTCTACTTGGTAACAGATGAGCAGAGTCAAGAATTAGCCTCAGAGACCCTGAGGGCTTAAGATTATTACCTTGTATGGAAGGTGTTATCAAAATGAGAAGTTTTATAGCTATTAAAGATGTACAAGATGTACGATTAACTGTGACTAATGTCTGGAACCTATTTTAATCTGTCATTGACGCCATGGGGGGGCGTGTACCCCACTGCTTTATAAGTGTCCACAACATGTATTTTGGTCAGAAGACATATGTTGATGTTTTCTCCGGGCTGTTAATAAACTCAACGTTTGATTGCACTTTTCTGGGGCCTCCGTGGTTTGTGACACTGCTCTGCATTGATCGATTTTGCGACATACCAAATATTGATTTTCAAGCGTTGTACAAACTCCGTTGTTGCCCTATAGACTCTATTTCCATGTATGTTTGCATATCGTTCAATAAGTTGCTGCAGTTGTTTCTTACGAGCGACATATAAAGAACCGAGTGCTGTATATTACTCCAGAGGATTTCAGATTTTTAGCTTCCGGGCAGCCTCTAATATTACATAACTAGTTTCATATGCAGCATGAAATTCCCAGCGGTAAACATACAGTGAGCTGTAACAGCAGAGGACAGGAGAGCACATCACTGCATCAAACTTTAAATTCATAAAATCAACCATTTAGCACCAGTGTTGTTGCTGCTTTAATGTTTTTAGCTGCTGACTGATGTTTGAGGCACTGAGTCAGAGGACGGGAATGTTTTCCAAAACGTTCCCAAACTGCTTTTCTTTTATTATTATTATTATTCTTAAATGAAAAGAAATGAGGGGTATCAATGTTTGTTTTGTGCACTGATTGTAATAAGCTGGCAGAATAAATAGAAGTCATCTTTCCTGCCTTAAACTTGAGAAAAAACCCTCAGCGGTAGCATTAAGCACTCCTTCCTCTCTGTGTTCTGATCTATCAGATGCCCCCTGCTCAGAGCTGCAGGGCATGTTGTCTGGTTTGCTTCCTGACTCGCAAATCACTGCGTCCTCCATGAGGGACATCCACGGCTCCATGGGGGCCGCCAGGCTGGTGGCCAGTCGATCAGGCTGGTTTCCCAACCCAACGCAACCCATAGTTGGAGAAGAGTGGCTGCAGGTATGTCGCTATAGCCTAGCATCCTTCATCTGCTCTGTCTTTTGATTTTTTTAAACTGCGTGTGAGCGGCGAGGGGTGAGCTGTCAATCACAAGGAAGCCACGACGTTGACCAAAACCTGCTTTGTCATAAATTTTACTCTTAATGGCAGCACAGTATAGGAACGCACTTCAGTTTATAACGGAGAACACTTGAAACCAGACACTGAGACCATAAACGTCTGAACATCAGAAAAGGTCGTCTGAAGTGATAAATCAAGCGGGGGTGGGGTCAGTTTCCCAGAGACTTGTTTTTGCAACTAAAGGAGCCATAAAAAAGCATCCACATCTGTCTTTTATAATGTAATCTACGGTTTGGTCAATCAAATACTGCAGGGCTTTTCCACACCTGCACTGGCGATCACAACATCCACCGAACCCACAAAATTACTGTAAAATGACACACGTGACAACAGCAGGGTCTCTAAACACTGATGGAGTTTTCAGCCGTCATTTAGATTGCATTTGTGAACTGACCTTGGTCATGAACTGCTATTGAATAGAAAGAAGAACCCATTTCCAAAGGCTGAATCTTATTAAAAGTTCCCCAATGGAAAACCAACGTTTGATTGATTATATGCTCGGGAAAGTCACAGTTGCCACAATGGGCAGGGGATCTGGAAATTGATCGGTTCCATGGCGCAGAGGGCGAGCGAGCAATAATAACTTTGTTTAACTTTGTTTTGTGTGCTGCAGGTGGACCTCGGTGTGCCCAAGATGGTGCGTGGCATTATTACCCAAGGTGCACGAGGCCTGGAGGGCAGTGCGGAGAACAGAGCATTTGTCAGGAAGTACAAACTGGCTCACAGCTCGAATGGCAAAGACTGGACCTACATCACTGACAGCAAGACTGGGTTTGCTAAGGTAGAGGAGAACACACACTCTCTCCTTGTTTTTGACACAAACGGGGGCCCCCTCTGTCCTCTGGTCCGCCGTCACTTCTCACTCATTTGCAGTTATTTATAGCCGTCTCTCAGCCGAGCCTTTCCCCCCGTCTCCCTCTCTTTCTCCTCATCTTTGTCTTTTTCATTCTTGTCATTTTTCGCAAAAACGCCGCTTTATTACAGCCTCGGCTCCGATAATAATTCAATTTAATCACCTCGCTCGTCATTCTTCGTGCTTCTGTGTCTTCCTCTCCCCGAGTCCTGCGCTCTCCCTCTCTTCGTCTCTCATCCTCTATTTGTCTCTCATGGGTGTTAATTAAAAATGTCTTTCCTGCATCAACACTCAGCACTGCTGGCGTCTAACGCACTGCGAGACGGGCACTTTAAACTTTGTTCTGCTTTCTGAGTCTATGTCTTAAAACGCTTTAATAGTACTACTGAGTGCCTGGATTTTCTCCTGATGCTAAAATCCTCTTCTCTCTCATCTGTCTTTTTAAATGAGCGTCCTGGGAAATTCATCTTATGGTTTTTAAAATTTCAGAAATGGGGAACACAGAGGATACAGTTCAATTAATGAAACCAATAGTACAACTTTCACGGCCCATGTTTTTTGAAAGGATCGCTGTAGTCTTGTCTGTATGAAGCTTGTAATAAATCTTGTGCTTTTGCCAGAGGCTTCTTCTGCCTCAAAGACGATTTGGAAATCAAAGGAAACATCTTCTTTCTGTTGTTTTTTTGACACATGTCGCTCTGGGCGGGGAAACAATGCTAGTTAGTGTCTTATTTATCAAGACTTCCATTTTTTTATTGGTTTCTCATCAGGCGGGATAGTGAAATACCAACACTTGACTGCCTCCACTGGATTTTCTGTTGTTTTAGGAATTTTTTTAAATGGTCAAACAGATTTGGGCACCAGGCAAAAATGTATTGCTGACTGCCTTTGAAACGATGTCAAAGAATTTAGCATCAAATGCAGTGAAACTGTTTCGTGCTCACCTTTCACATTCTTCCTCAGATCTTTGAGGGCAACGGCCACTACGATACTCCCGAGGTGCGGAGGTTTGACGAGATAGTGACTCAGCACATCCGAGTCTTTCCAGAGAGATGGTCGCCCGCCGGGATCGGCATGAGGATGGAGGTTCTCGGCTGTGACCTGCCCGGTAGGAGCGCACACACGTGGATGATAGGACAAACTACACACAGATGAAATAAAGTTGCATGCGTGGATAATGCAGGAATGAAAGTGGAATACATCTGCACATATACGATAAATTAAACGATCATATTTCAAAACCAAACACGTGCTCTTTAAATCAGAGATTTTTGTCTTCGTCCTCGTCGTCTTTTTATCTGCCCTGTGTGTGGCTTTGTGCTCTGATATGTAGATTTTGCACGTGTACACAGCATGTTCCACGCTACAGCGACACAGTTTTCCTGGTGCTGGATTTGGATTTTTTCACTACAATGCCAGAATCTCAGCTTTAATTCAAGGATTCAAGCGTGTCATATGAAACCAGATGTTACATTTTAAATACTTGATGGCACATTCTTTGTCCAGAACCTGTGGACCTGCAAAAATGTGTCAGTTGCTTTCACTGTATTTGTGGGTTATCATCCATCTGTACTGCCTGTCCAGGCAACTTTGCTGTATTTGGTGGAATATGAGCAGGAAGTTTGTCCCTACACTTGAGAATTCATCCCAGTGGTTCTTTCTTCTTATGCATCATCAGTAAAGACTGGTGGCCCATCATTATGAAGGGTGCTTCCAGATGGGGTTTGACTTGCTTTTGATACTGAACACTGGTTTGCACCTTGTGCTGAACCTTCTGCATTTCCCTCTTCAAGTCCTCTCTGCATGATGCACTTGGATAATAACACACTGACCTCCAGGAGAGTACTCTTTACCCGGCAGTGTTTCTTTATCTATCCTGAGATCATTTGCTGAGCTTTACATGTAGCTGAAATGACTATTGAACCCTTTATGTTTCCCAAAGCAGCTCTTAGGCTCTGAAACTCTTAAACTTAATAATAGCTGCACTGTGATCTTTGGTCCTTCCCTCTGTTTGCTTGTGAAGAGCTCTGTGATTTTCAGAGCAACTAAGATAACAAACCTGTGTCTGTGTCCAAACAAACGTACATATATATGAATAACTGTAGTATTTGTGCTTCTGTCATGGATTCTCCAACATATCGGTTAAAGTTAATCATCTTGCTCTGCGGGAGGGTTTTCCACATGTCTGGACAGGGATTAACATGTCTAGGTCATGGGACTTTTACTAATAGTGGCCAGCTGTGGACTATATTGTGTTCCCAGCCCATTATGTTAGCAGAATGTTGCTAGTGTGTCGTGAAGGATTAGGTGAACTTTGGTGTTTTCCTTTTCCTGTTGTGTTTTTTAATATTTTAGCGGAAGCCGTTGTTTATCAGGAGTGCTTCTTAGTGTGCAGTGTGTGTAAAGTGATGAATGTGGACCATTACTCTGTGTGCCACTTTACTGAGCTGTGTAACCACAATTTATTATAATATGCTAGCGTTGCATGGACCTTGTTAGCTGTGGCAAGCATTTTTTTTCAGCTCGACAATAATTTAAGCATTAAAGCAATCCATTGTACAAACCTGACACTTTTTTTTCTTCTGCTCAACTTGAGCAGTAATAATGAGCTGTTTAAATTTCCACTAGATGAAGCAGAGACAATGGATCCAATGTTATTAAAGCTGGGATGTTTGAATGCATGATAATATGATCGTGTCCTTTAGATAGCCAGTTATTACACAGTAATACACAGTAACAGCAGTTGAGTTGTGTTTTCATAACCAGACCTCTATACCTGCTGCTGTTATGACCAGTCCTCTCCTTCCCCGTGCTCTCTGCTTCCAGCGTTTTCAGATTTTACTGCTTCAGTCAGGTTGTGACAGGTGAAGACGAGAACAGGAAATGACACGTACCTGTTCCCAGTGGACACGAAGGGGGTTGTTGCTGCGACCGATGGCTCCAACTCTGTGTCTCTGAGCACGTGTGTGTCCATTTGGGTTTCCAACAGAGAGAGAGGGGGGAACCCGAGGGGAACGTTATATCCCAGATGTGTCAGGCCTAACCAGGAGGCCGGTGATGATGGGGACAGAAGGGCAGCCTCTTCTGTTCTTAA